ATGTTGAATTAGATTGTAAAATATGTATTTAAAATAATATCAATAATATGTGAAGATAAATCAATATTACTTTGATGAACTTACAATAAGCCCAAAAATTAGGTATCGTTTGATAACTTTAAAAAAACATTACACGAATACATAAAACGTATGAATACTCGACTTGAATTGCATGCGTCAGTATTAAATTACAGATAAAACCTGGTTGCAATATATGAGAAGCATTACACGGACCTGTATCACTTCGTAGAACTGTTTGTGAGAACTTCCTGTTATGATTGTAAGCAATTTGACACTTAATTATAAGGCTTTTATCTCAGTTCCCAGGAATATTCAATGAGTTTGCAATTTTACTGCATACGTCATTGTATACGTATACATAACTCGTCGTATCACAACACAATTTGACTTTAAAGAAGTAAATTAAATTATTTAGTACTAGCTTTCGGCGGCGACTCCGTCCGCGTGGAATAAAAAAAAACAAAAGCGAGTAGCCTATGTGTTCTTTCCAGACTATCCTCTACGTCTTTGCCAAATTTCATAGAGATTCGTTCAGTAGTTTAGGCTACAAACTCTAACAAACATCCATCCATCGAAACTTTCACATTTATAATAAGAGTGAGATCTATACTAATGTTATAATGAGGAAAGATTTGTATTTTTGTATGTATTGAAATAAATCAAAGCTACTGGGCCATTTTAAAAATGTTTTCACCGTTATAAGTGACTATGTTTTTTATTAATTTTTTTAAATTTCAAGGGAACAAAATCGCGAGCAGCAGCTATTTCCTAATAAACTTAAATACTCCTGTATTTTACAAGATGTTTCACTAAAAATAAGTTTCTCTGTCAGTAACCTAAACAAATTTATACAAACTATAGAATAACAAGGCGTAATTCGTAGATTTATATTTTAGTTCACTATTTCCCAAACGGGTTGTACGTAATTTAAACGTTTACGTACGAACAATTTAAAAACTAACATCAAACTGAAATAACTAACAATAATATTAACATATAAACTGTCGTCTAATACGAGATAAAAGGAATTCCAGGTTCACTCGTTTCCGGGCCACGGGACGATCGCTTAGTTCGAGTACATAGTAAGGCTTTTAGGATAAGCTCTCGAATCCGCCCCGTGTGTACGCAGCTCATTTTAATGCGAAATTACGATGAAATAGCGAATATTGGTTTAAAGCTAAAAGCTCAATCTATCTAGATGCGATACAATTTGCTTTGACGCAGGCGAACGGCTATGATTAAGTACGAAGCCACGTCTATTGAAGTCAGCCATTACTCTAACCTAACTGGAAATGCCGCAAGTGATCACGACATACCATGTCTTAACATTGAAGACTTTACGGAATTCAAATCTTTATGAATTTCAAATTAATTCAAAGATTAATAATGTATTTTTAGGCATGTGATGTTAGCTGCCCCCCTCCCCTTCTTCGTAGACCATCGAAAAATAAAAAAAATGGTGTATGAACTACTGCGAACAACTAAAATGTCTTCAAACAGACTTCAGATAGGCAACACAAAAACTTGTAAATTTTTCATTAAAACTTGGACCACTTTAATAGCTTGTCAATTCCCCCCTTGATTATAGACCCTTACCCCGTAAATTACAAGATTAATTGGTAACAAACTTAAATGCAAGCAATCAAGAAAAACCCCGGCTAACAAATTGTAAAGGCAAAATGTATATCACAATAAATGTATGTTGTATACCCGTGCCGTACAACGTCTAACTGCGTTGACCTCTCGTGTCCTTAAAATAAACGTCAGTATACCTCCATACATCCTAATAGACGCAACAATTTGGTACAAACCTACGCTTAGAACTGGGAAACATTCAGAGACGTTCAAACTTTTACTTTTGTTATTATTTACACATATCCACATTTGTAAATTATTTATATTATGCATCAATGAACTTAAATATCGACAAATTTAAAAAGCTGGTTTAATACAGCTTCAAGTTGCAGACAACTTGAAGTTAGCCGTATAAGTTCTAAGGCTTCATCATAAACACTAAAATCAACAACATAGATGGATGTATAAAGCAGTTAAAAACTTTGGTAACAAAAATTAAATTAAAAAATTCGACTCCACACATGCGAGTGTTCTTTATTGAAGTAAACACGTTGATTGTCTGAAGTCATAGTGATGCGTTGTTTTTTGTTCAATTACGCCCATCGAGCTTCTGGCGAGGGATCCTCGGCCTATTTACCACCAAATGGATTCCATCAATGACCACTGTCCTACTTTGTTATAGTTTATTAACTGCGCTCTACAATGTACAGATAGATCAGATTAATGGATTAAATACTATTGTTTCGTGCAGTTTCTGATTAGAGTTTCTTTATTTTGTAACCATAGTTTAATCTATTCCCGCCCACGTCTTTAGTTAGTCAGCATTTTCGTAATAAAACTACGATATGGATGTCCTCCAGTGACGAATAAACGTCTTTACTAGACAGTTGCCCAGTTATTTTTAACCATTCGTTAGTGTTTTTGGTTCGATAAGATGAAATGCGTTTCCAAACATAACTTGAGTATTACTCCTTTAAAACTTAGTTCAACAACAACCAAACCCCCCACTTAAGTATTTACTTAATCACTAATCAATAATGTTTTCACATCAATTGGTAGAAAACATCTCTTTAGTACCTAAATAGTATTTCATTTTTACATTGTTTCTGTAAAATAAAACATATTAGTTTGGACAAAAAAATGTCCGTACTGGGAACAAACTATTTTATAGCGTACTAATTCTGTCAAAGCTTCACAGAAACTATGCGCTATGCGGCGCGTTGTTCACACATTACATATTTGCTATGTGCATTAAATACTTAGCTGTTTAAAAAAGTTTTTAACGTTACGAAAACATAATGTTTTAAATAACTTTCTAAACATAAAAATATATCTATATTAAAATTAAAAGATTTGTTTTTTTTTATGTATTGATATAACGCCAAAACTATTGGGCCGAGCTCAAAAATTCTAACACTTTTAAATGCTATGTTATCAATCAGTAACATAGGCTATACTTTTTTATTGTTTTTTATTTCACGCGGAATTCGCCAGCAATAGCTAGTTTCAGATATAGAAATAATTCAGATTAACAAAAATTAAACCATGAAATCTTTAAAAGAAAAAAAAAATAAACCCGTATATTTTTTTTAAATTGTATTAACCGAAAAAGAACATGCAGGTAACAATGAACCAAACATTATCCTATACAGATAAAATAACTTGTCAAAAAAGAATTTGCATAATAACCGCAAACATCCAAACTTCTAAACTCACAATGCCCAGTATTTATAGCACCATATAAATCTAGCACCCTCAATAAACGGCAGAGCTTCCAAACAATTTTCCCCCGGGTTGAGAACCGGTGGAAAGATCTCGAACTATGTCGTGTAACTAGGAAGCGTTGCCGGCGGCTCTCAAACTTCCAACAACGAGGTTTCCTTCAGTATGCGGATGTTTTAAATGTTATTTTCTCTTTATAGTGGTCTCAACATTGCTATTCATTGTTACTGGTAAAGAAGATAAATGTAGTTCTCATTTAAAAGGGAATTAAATTTACAAATCTATACTATTATAATAAAGCGTAAACACACTCTACTTTGTTGCCTAAGATTTACAGTATATATTTGCAATTACAGCATATTTTTGAATAATTCTTTTTTGAATAAGAAGTCCTACACCTACGTCACGCTTTAGGCTATATATTTTCACGCCATTAAACTTATGGGGTTAATATTTTGGGTAAAAACACTAATGTGGAAAAGAGACCGTAAGTTACTGCCAACATCGAGGAAGCAAGGTTATTATGGTAACGGCAATTTGACATTTGCAATTAAGAATTGGACAAATGAAAACACTAAAATAGAGTTTTTATAATTTCATGCGGATAAAGCAGCACGGAAACGGCTAGTGTTTTAAATAACAATAAGTTATTATTGATACTTATAATTTATGCTTGTAACGGAATTGGAATTACAAAGTTTTGGAAGTCATTGTTTTTACTTTAAATGTGCATCCAGCGGTGATGGTCTGTTTCTTTGCTTTAGTTTTATGTAGCGAGAAAATAATGCACAGACGGCGTTATATCAAAAAGAGAACTTCCGGAACAGACTACACTTCGTTGTTGCATGCTTTTTAAATCACTAGTCTGTGCACGGAAATGTACTTTTATGCCCAAATATCCTTGTTAAGGTTTTATCAATTTTTTTCATTAATATAAATTGAATGATGGATGGATGTTTGTTTGATTTTATAGCCTAAACGGCTGAACGGGTTTTGATGAAATTTGGCATAGATGTAGAACATAATCTGGGAGAACACATAGAAGTACTTTTTTTTTTAATTGCACGCGAAAAAATCGCGGACGAAACCTAGTGTAATAAAACATTGTAAAACATTTTTTTCTATTCAAGTTACGTCGACATCGAAAACAAATGATATACGAGTGACGTCAATCTTTCGTTTTCACCTGAGACTGATTGAACCAAGCCAGGCCAGCAATCACCGTGTGACAGTTCATTATACTCAATATCTTTTTTATTCTACCGAACAAGCGATATTGCGTTCCATAGATTAACTTTCATCTAACAGATGTGTAGGTACAAACTAAAATACAATTTTCGTTATCACGTCATATCGTTACATTGCAATATATGAAATAGTCTGAAGATGTAGACGCGTTTGACAGAAAAATTTCGTGAAGGCATCCAGGATTATTCGGTCGGATGGCGGGCCAAAGCGATTCGAACTGGATTCAGCCGGTACAAAGCGAATCTGGAATTCGCTACATTCTGAACACTATATGCTTCACTGCTGAGACGATATATATATTATTGAAAAATGTTTGCGATTTACATGTATTATTTTTTTTTAATTAATTTATTTACACATGTTATTGTCGTTTATCAATACAAAAGTGAGGTGTACTTAACATGTAATTTAATTTAATATTTTCGTTGTTTCAGCTCAAAATGTCGAAATCACTCCGCTGAAGGCTGTGCGTCGTGTGGGAGACGAGCTGATAGTGCTCTGCAAAGTGCCATATCGCATTGACTCTTGTCGGTAAGTTGTTTTACCATAGTAACAAATTACTCTCCTCAAGATTTGAGTAGAACGAAAACTTCATTTGACATTGAAATATCTTCTTTCTCTCTCTGTCTTATCACTGCTATATCTTTCATCTCGCTCATGTAACGAAATTGGTCATAGTGCTTGACGTATTATGTGATCTCGTTTGATAGTTACTTTACCTATGTATTAAACGGGTAGACCTTCTGCCAATTATGAATTTACATGACCGCAACTATTATGTCGTCGAATAATTTGTGAATTACAAGGATGTGGATTGGCAAGCGGCCGAAACTTAGCACCGATGTTCGTGGCAAGTTTAACGTCTTAGTTAACTCACCGCTACAACTTAACTATGCGTAACTACGATGTTAAACTCGCGTTGTTCATCGTGGATAAGTTAACGACTTCATGCTTTGATTACAAACATATTTGAGCTGCTTTACCTACGTGAAATTAAAAAAAAATATAGTTGTAAATGTCGATATCATTGAATTAAAAATGCACTCAACATAAAATATACAATACTTTGGGTGAAAGGCTATTTGTTTTAAGCGCTATTACGTTTATTTATTAGGTTAGGTTTAGGTTATGTTCAGGAGAGCCATTTAAAGTCTTCATTTTTAGAAAAAAAAAACATGAATGCAAATCCTGGGAATAATTTCAATTGAAAGACCGGCTCTAGATTAAAATTACTATAATTCTGCATACTTTATTATTTATTTTATATTTAAAAAACTGAATATATGAGTCAAAATCGCGTAAAATGGCGGTTGGAACAAATAGCCTTTCACCCGTCGAATAGATGGATGTTTAATTTCGTAGATTTTTAGATAGTTTTGATTTTAGTCTACTAATATTAATAACTCCAGTTGAGAGAGACTTGTGTCTAATCCCGTAATAATAACGAGGTAACGGCCCGTGCTGAGGCTCCTGAGGGAGCCCTCGAGCTTAGTTACCTATAAACGAGGTTTAGGCTAAGCGCCATCTGCGCTCGGCTTCCTCAAGCTCTGTGAATCTGTAAATGTCTTAAAGGCAAACAGTGGCAATTCAGTCACGAAAAAAAAAGAGTGGAGTATACTTAAATAATGTAGCCTAGGCTTACTTACTGTTTTTTTTTATCTTTATTTAACTAATTCGTGATGTTTTAATTTTCAGAATGACAGTGGGTCCTACGTCTTACCGTCTGATACCAAACAACCAGGGAGATGTGGTGTACCATGGACAAGGATTGGAGGTTAGAACTACTATTAAGAAAAGGCGCACACCTTTGATCAAACTAACGCACACCTGTTGTGCGATTGTCAATTTTTTGCAATTGAACTTTTTAGTTGCACAACTCAAAATCGAGTAGTATGTTCACCGCCATATAAGCTTATAGAAATTAAAGATTAAAGCGAGACTAAACAGTTGTGCGATATTTTAGTATCAAGTGTGCGTACACTAAATCTAAGTAGAAGTTACTGATACGTACTTGAACCACAGACTAAAAAACAAACTGTCTTGCAGGTGGGAGAATGCGGTGCCCAAATCAAGCACATCAAGGAGGAATGGAACGGGAACATCTCTTGCGTCCTACCGCCGAAGACCGGTAGCATCGAGGTCTCTGGTACTATGCAGCTTCTCGTCGCAAGTAAGTCACTCAGTTCGGTCTAAAAGAAACTCTAAACCACGTTATTATAAAGATCAAACTCGTATGTAATTTTAATTACTTAATAGTAAAGAACCAATATTGACTGACCTATCACCTTTAGACGTCAATATTATTTTAGTTTAAGCGTGCGTTCGCACGGGCAGACTTTGTACGCCGCGGTAAAGTTCAAGGTCAGCAGACTTTTTACGCGCACGAGATAGGTGTTCGTACG